CCATATATGTTAGGAGTATGGGGTAGTTCACTAAAATTTCCATTCCTTTACTAATGTCCTCACAAAATGCACTTCCACACTCAAGGCTGTACTCTAGGGAAAATTTCAGGGGGGCCTTCGGGCTCCCCAAGCATTTTATCTGGGGTGCCCGGGCCTCCAAGTTGGTCGCCTGAATTAATAAATCAGTGAGCTTATTAAAAATTAAACAAATTATTTTCTTAACAAGACAAGCAGAATTTTGTGAATATTTTTTTTCATGAAAAATCACATCCCTTTGACCTCCTGAGTGTGCGAAAAAAAATACCCGCATGTACGCGCCATATGAGAAACATGGGCAACGACGCCGAACATATCATGTTTTTTAAATGGAGAAGTAAGATTCTAGCCTGTTTATGTATTTAAAAAAAAAAAAAATGGGGGTCAAAAATAAGGACACTATTCTTTCTACTAATCAGTTTGATTTACGTTGAAAAAAAAATTCGCTTATTAAGATTGACTGAGGTCCCGTGGAGCTTTCCAGGAAAACTGTTATGATTTCAACGAAACCGCAGCGCCCCCAGGGGGTTACTTGGGTTAATTTTTGCTACCCCATTATAGTCTATTCTGTGGCCAATTGTAGACCCCATGTTAGTTACTTTTGGGTAAATATGTAATTTTTGCGATCCCAACTTCGTCACTTTCTATTTATGAATCTATCTTATCAATCCTTTAAATAGGTCATCAAAAAATGGATTGCCCCATTGAATGAAGAACACTTTACTTTTCACCTACAGTGCAAATATCCTGGTACGTTTGCTAACCGCACATATGAACAACTCTCTTACCCTAAAAATCCGAAAATGTGCGACCCCATTCTAGTAACTCTTTTGAAAATGCAACCCCACTATAGTCAATCCAGTCGTGAAAATGCAACCCCATCCAGCGGCACATCCCCATTAGCCTTATATACGGAAGTGCCCCCCCGCCCCTCCCCCCGCTCCCCGTGCCGCCCCAAAACTATTATCTATTTTGAATAGGTCAGCTTGTTGTAAAGTCGTCGTTTAAGCGCAGAACGGAAGTATTTTCTTTCTATATTATCGAAGAAATGCTCAGGACAAATGAGCTTTTGTGGATCCGCTTAGCTTTTGCGTATTTATTTTTAGTACGTGATACGTAATGCCTTGTCACGTACGTACGACACGAAAGACAATGCGGGATTTTATAGATTTATACCCGATCCTGAAACAATCACAATAATAGTCGTCTCTTTTCTTTTTTATACATCGTCTTTTACTGGAACAACAATCTTAGTTATGTTTTAGCCTCGCAGACACAGCAGTAAAAAAAAAAGGTAAAAATATTTTAATTAACATAAAAGAGCGACTCCCGTGTTTATTCAGCGATTTTACAAAATACAAAACTATTGTTTTGCGTCGCCGACCGTACTTTACGCCTGTCAGCGCAAACGTAACAATTTGTTAGAAAAACTAACTAATGAACCATCCTAATTTGACGAAAAAATTTCAATGTTACTATGAAAAGCTGTTACTATCGAAAACTGTGCGGCTTGTGAACTCACGTGAAACGACCTTTGAACATTAACGGCTGCCCGGCCGCTGCCCGATTTAACAACATTTTCTTAAAGCTTTTTGATAGACATGCTACATATTGCTACTTACAAGTCGACCTCAAGAGTTTCTTAGCGAGCGGGGCGTTCTTTTTTAGGCCGCGAAGCCACCAAGCGAGCTACGATTAAGGATTTCGCAAGTAATAAATTCTAGACATTCTTAGCTTAGTTGACGCTAAATCAACAGAATCAAGAAACCAACACCAGCAAGCCGCCCGGCTGGGGCACCTAGATAATATTTTAAGTCGCCCGAGGCCAAGTCTTGCGCTGTTAGATCTAGAGCACAGCCTTGAGTCAGGGGCACCCAACGAGAATATAGTTCAAAACCACTTAAACATAGAATTGTTAAACGTATTTCAGTATTTAAACGGTAGATATAGGCATATTTTTATCCCCTAAAAATTTTTCATCTGTTCGGATTTCCTAGCTGAAAGTCAAGGGATCCGAAAATTATAGGGACCAAAACTTACCTTTTCGAAAATTTTGGCCAGAAAAAAGGCTCCCGAAAATTCTAGATGACCTTTTTAGGGTAAAAATCCATTAGAAATAGGCAATTATACCATTTTTTAGATGTCCGAAAATCCCAGGAGAGGCAGGCAAGCAAGAAATTTTACAACAAATGTTCCGAAAATTCTAGATCTCAAATCGTCTTCCGAACAGATATTTTTCCGAAAATTGTCGTTGGGTGCCCCTGTTGAGTCTTCCTCCTCCTCTACGCTGTAAGCTTACTTTTCCCGTCTTTGCTGACGCAGTATGTTTTTTCTCCTTGTGCAATCCAACCTGACTTGCACGTGATTTGAAGTTGCAGCCTATAAAAATCACACAATTTTTCGGGACGGGCACGGGATACGGAAAAGTTAAAAAAAAGAAGACAATTTTTGACTCTCAAGACGACGAAAGGAATGCGCTCCCGAATTTAAGACGCTGGCTGACTACGTCTTCCCGCGTAAAAAATCTCGCCTGAAAAACTGCACAGGGCACCCAGCAGAAATTAGGGGTTGCGTTGCGTTGCGTTGATCGTGTTCATCGTCATAACAACGAAATTCTCCGGGGGAGTACTCCCTTACATTTGCCTTATAGGTATTGATCTGGACTGAGTCTGCACTCAGGATTAAGAGAATGAGTCAACACTCCCTACCATGAATTGCTAGTGATTCCCCCTGGAGAGAAAATGGAAGGCATTTTATAAACTAAGCCAGCCTACGGCCATTCCAGCTAACAACAGACCTTATTATTTCATGTCTCTAATTCGTCTCAGCCTGCGTGGCAGGCGCAAAAAGGGGAGCGGGATAGGGGGGGAGGGAAAAGCGCGAAAGGGAAAAGGGAGGGGAGCGTCTGCTGTAAGAACCTGTGTTTTTGTATTCCGCCCACAAGTGTACCGTTTGAAAACCTATTAATATCATAGGTGACGAGGTAGGTTAACAATGGAGGATTTTTGACATGTTTATCCTGGATCGTATCAATCGAGAACTGCAATCTCTCAATCGTTTAGAGCTTAAATTTAAATTTGAGAATTTTCAGAATTTTTCGACAGAATCCTTCTTGATGAGCTCTTTCCTGTGTTTAACATCTTCATTTACGCACCCATCAGTGTAAAGCCGGGGGGGGGGGGGGGGGGGCGGGTGCGGATTTAACATTTTTCAAAAATTTGCAGTCGAATTCCCTGCCGGCGGGCAAATCTTTCCAGTCAAATGCAACCAAATTTCCCCACCCTGGGCTGAACATTGCTGTCAAATATCCCAAGACTGGACCCAAGAAAGGCACAATAAAAATGTCTCCAAATAAAACTCTGCAATCTTTATTTATATTACGTTGCTGCATCACCAAAGATACATGTTCTTGTTACATTTGCAATTATACGTTTTAACCATAATCCGTGTTACACTGCGTATAATACAGAAACCTTTAGGAGAAAGTCCACATTTTGTAAGTTTAAATATACCGTTCTTAGTAAAGGGTAAACAGAAAGTCAGTTTTATAAGCTTACAGTGATTGTAGCGAATGAGTCATACACTGATCAATTGCTCTTGCAAAAATCGACTTGGTTGCTCTTTACTTCCATTTACTTTGATACCACAGTATCTTAAGAGGTTCAATTGATCAAAAACTTGCTAAAACAAACTAAATTTGAAGACAAAACAGTGAAATTTAAATCCAACCAGCTTTCGCTTGTTCTCGTTCGGCCTCCACGATTTCCAGATATTTCCAGACAGTACAGCGCATGCGTGAAGCGTGGAAGTGGGAAACATATGTTCGGTCTCAGTCTCTTTCGTCCGAGTCGGCAGTCAAGTATCTCCACTTCGGGCGAAGAAAGATTCAAATATCCCCTCCCCTGGGAGAACAAGATCAGTCAAATGCCCTACCCCAGGGCCAACAAAGACAATCAAATCCCCAACCCATGCCCATAATCCCACAACCTCCCCCCCCCCCTCCGCCGGCATAACAATAACAATTTTAAAACTTCGTCGCCGTCATCATTGGTCAGCGGTCGTTTTGGCGGCTGGTCGTAGGCTTTCCTGCTCTCCTGTTTTTCACGTTATTTTAGCTTTATATTATTTAATTCTTAATGGCTTCATATCTTTCGAAATTCGATTGTTACATCCCAAGACTCGACTGCACCTCTTTGGAGGTCTTGCGGATGTCGAGAAGACTCGAGATTTTCGTGCTTTGTTGATACCACGAGTCCGCCATCTTGATTCTGGAGCGAGTGAAGGGATACTGTGCTGCTATGGTCTTGAGGTTGATACTGAGATGCTAGCTTGTGAGTTGAAGACAAGTAATACACGACGGTTATTATATGCAGTTTTCTACAGACCTCCAGACGTTGGAGAGCCATTTTTGGATGAGTTTAGGAAATTTCTCATAAATACTTCTAGTACAGAAATTGATAATTTGATCATCACGTGTGTTGATTGGTGTACTTGCTCACCTACTACTGCAGACAACTTGACTGAAACGGTTTGTAAAATGCTGGACGATCATTTTTCTCACCCAAACAAACCCTCATATCACTCGTCCATCAGTCATTAATGGCTTATCTTGGATCTTGTAGGGAGGAATCTAATAAAGCTGAAGCGGGTAACGTGACTGTGTATCTAAATGGCATTGACTCGGATAATTTTACAGTTTACTTGCAATCAAGAAAATAATTTCACAGGCCTAAAAACAGTCAGAGCTCAGTCTGTCAATATGCAAAAGTTGACTTTCCTGGTCTAAGAAATACCTTTTGTGACATTTTGTGGGATTCTTTTATATCTTGTAAGGACATTGACTCAAGTACAGAACCTTTCAGGATCTTTTGCTTAAAGTAGTTGATCAACGTGTACCGAAGTTGAATCTTAGAGGTCAACTGTACAGGTATCTCTTGACCTACATGGATAGATAAGGAAAAAGATTAGCCAGCTTTAGATTAGTAAGGAAAAAGAAAGCATTGTGGATGCTCTTGAATTGCAATACTTCTCTTGAACTGATCACTAAGTTTAATAAGCTTTTTAGGAAGCAGACCAAGAGCCGTATATCCTCCAAGTATTGTCAATACTTAAAGTCTCTGTTGGACAAGCTGGAGTCCAACACCAAAAAGTTTTGGTCCTTTCACTCCTTAAAGTCTAGATCAAAACGTCTACCAGAGACAATGTTTTACTCCAGTATAAATGTGCTTACGAAAAACCCTGTCTCCAAAGCGTTTCTATTTCATTAATTTTTCAGTTCTGTTTTTGTGGCTACTACCTCCCTTTAGGGAAGGCAGAGCCACTATGTCCTGGTGTTGTGTCCGTAGGTCCTGTAAGTACTTAAATTGCCACAGGAGACCCACTACCTTGGTCCGGTTGAAGTTGTAGCCGCTTTAAAAAGCGTTTTAAAAGAATGCTTTTGGCAACGCAGAAGTATTTTGCAGAGAAATTGAAGCGATTTGGACCAAGAGCTTAAACATAAGAGGAAACGTAGTTGTTTGAAAGCATTTCCGATGCGTCTGCGATGTGCTTCTACCCCACGGTTCCTTAATCTTGCGCCTGACCTGACGACCGTGCAGAACACGGTTCGAGCCCTAGCAGTGAATTTTTTTCTCTTTTATTCGCCCTCGTTTTCTTTGCTTTTTGTTTTTCTTTTAATTCCTAATTTAATTTTCTACAGCACGGTTAGAGGTCTTACCAAATTTAAGACTCGCAGGAGTCTTTCAGATTAGTACGATTGTTAACTTGGAGACTGGCTTTCAAGAACCTTTGACTTGTCCAGACGAGAAGTTGAGCGTTTACTTTTAGTTTGTCTCCAAAAGATAACGGGGGATATACAAATTCCAGCTGGCTGGAAAGTGATCTGAAAATTGAAAACGTCATGCTATTCTACTCTTTGAGAACCTGTATAAGCTGAAAATGGATGTGATTTTGACCATTAGCTTCAAAATAGCAGAGGAAATCGAGATAAGGGAACATGTTTTGCGTCCTAATTCGCAGACGAAAAAATTCGGCTTTCTATTGCATAATATATGTTCTTTCATCGCCATGAAATGCGTTTACATTGTTTTTTTATTGTCAACAGCCCGGTTAATACGGCTCCATAAACTTTACAAGGCGTTTGCCGGCGGAGGTTCCATGGCAAAAGAATTAAATTAAAGCCTTAACGCCAAATGCACGTAGTCATCTTTAGTGGTGTAGTGGTAAGGTAACGTCGCATAAAACCGAAATTGCCGGGTTCCACTTCTGCTCAGTACTCTTTCTTTTTCTTTTTTTTTTCGTTTTTGTTATGTTTTTGTTGCTTATTTGCTTTTTGTTGTTGTTGTTTTTTTTTTAAAATATACCTTCCATTGCAAAAATAGTTTATTTATGGATACATAATCTGAATTTCTACAATGTAAATTCCTTTTTTACTGCAATGTCAATTCTACAAAACTAATAATAGTACTGCCTTTTAATTATTTCCACAAAGTCGTCAGACTTCTCCAGCCTTCACATTGATGTTGTTAATCCTAACTTACTGATGTAATATATCAAAAACCACACGCAGTGTTTCATCCGATATCCAGACACCGATAAGTGGGTTGAAAAACGTGGCGCAGCCAAGTTTTTTAAGACCGACTTCGAGGTGTCTGGATATCGGATGAAACACTGAGTGGAGTTTTTGATTTAGCTTCCCAAATGAACAATAGAAATTCAAAGATAAAGTCCGCAAAATTTTGTGGTATCCAGAAAAAGTGGAAAATCTAAAAAGGTGGTCCCGTATTCCCGGTTGGAATTTCCGAACGGAATGTCGTGTTCCATTGACGTTTCTTGTAGTTTGTACCAGTTCCAGGTCCACGGTCGGGCACCCGGCCACGTACCGGGGTTTACGACCAAATGGAACAACTTTTTACCAATCGGAAATTCCACTTTTGCTACCACCGAAATTTCCGGGTTTTTTTCGTAAATGGAAAGCGCCCTTTGTTTTCTCTTTATTAATTAATAAATGAGTTTGAGAACGATTTATCCACCTCTCACACAGAGGTCAGGGATATCCTATGTAAGCTGGATGCCAACAAAGCAACTAGAGTGGATGGTATATCGGCTAGGATCTTGAAGGAAAGCGCAGAGGAGCTATCGTACCCGTTAGCCTTATTGTTTAACGTGCCTCTTAATAGTGGGAGAGTCTCCTCTTCATGGAAAAGAGCAAATGTCACCCCTGTGTTTAAAGCTGGCGCTACAGACTTGGTGGAGAATTATCGATCTATCTCATTGTTATCCATCTCTACGAAATGTCAAGAGAAGATAGTGGCCTCTTTCCTGACAGATTGGCAACAAGGTTTCGTTAAGAGTCGCTCATGTGCTACTTACCAGTTGGTACTTCCACACCATCAGTGGACAAGAGCCTTGGAGGACGGACTACAGGTGGATGTCGTGTTCCTAGATTTCGCCAAGGCGTTCGTTAAAGTTTTACATGTTATACTTCTGCAGAAGCTTTGCAATTTTGGCATCTCTGAGTTTTTGTTAAAATGGTGTGAGGATTACTTGACAGAAAGAAAATTATGGGTTGTCAAGAGGGTCGGAGTTCCACCTGGTCTGTAGTACCTTCTTTTATACCCCAGGGTTCGTTATTACGGTCGCTATTGTTTGTGATTTTGATCACGATTTACCTGATGTGGTTATCCCTGGGAACACAATAGCATTATATGCTGACGACTGTAAAACGTCTAGAGTGATAGACTGTCCCTCAGACTGATACTGATCAGCAGATACCCTGTTTTGACAGCTGTCAATTGATCACAACATTGATGTGCAATGTGTGTGCAATATCAGTTTTCCTGTGCTCCTAAACTAGCTAGAAAGTGTGAGATTAAACATTGGTGTGCCTGTGGTGAGGACGGACGGTGGGTCGGGCCTACGGTCACGTGATTACCAAATTTTCTCGGATGGTTAGATTACCACATTTCCTTAGCTATGGGGCTCCGTCCACGCGCGCTTCGCGCGCGCTTGGAGCTCCGCTATTAGTCGATTTGTGACGCTCCATTTTCGAGATCGGCGCCGGGCGCAGCTTCGCTCCGTCGCAGAAATCTCCGCCGCCAAAACTGTTCTTATGTGTGAACAGAAGCCCCTTCTCGTACGATTTTCGTGGAGGCGCATAACCTTTCCGTTATAGCGTGAAGATAATCTAAGAGTATAGATTACCAATATGTTACATGAGGCGATTCGCAACGCCGATTTTTAGGTTAACACAGCGTTACAACATTTTTGCGATATTGGTTTGAATGACTGGAGTATTGTTGCAACATAGCAACGAAGGGTTGCGCTAAAAATCTTCCTTTCGAATCGTCCCTTGTAACGTAATTTTTTATGTTGATTACAGGTAGTCACAATAACGTTCGCCTGAGCCCTGAAGAGGCTAATTCATTTGGGGGCAAAGTTCGCAAATCGGCAATTCACCAACGTTTTTCCAGAAACATTCGCGAAGAATGTTATGGTGAGCACTGTACATTTGAAGAGGTTCGTGAAGCAATACGCAACAGAGAAAACGCAGTGAGTAATCATCAAATTCCTTCCATTTCTAGCGAAAGAATGCAATTAATTTAGCCAGAGCAATATATAGATTGCTCGGCACCTTTTATGCATCTTTTGAAGTTTTGAAAAAGCCTTTTGTATACCGGTATTGTGATCGACTTTAACCATTTCACTGCCAGAGTGCTTGGTGGAGTTTTGTAAGGTGTCTTTAGCTTTTGAATCTGTGGATGAAATCCTATGATGTGAATCTTTGTAAACATTTCAAACAACTTTAACGCATATTTTGAAGCCATGTGTGGTATGTTGAAAGTGGCTTATCTTCAGGGTGACCAATTTCTTCGACTAGAGTAACTTGTGTAAGTAAATTAATTTTTGAGAAATTTGACTCGGCTTTAGACGTTTACTCCCAAGTCTAGAGTCATCATAGCCTAACTTGGCTAATATCTCAGAGAAAATTTGCCCCAAAATGCTATTTTTTGGCAAGTAGGCCTCTTGGATGTTGTTCTTTTAGAATATTCTGACAAATCTCATAATTTCACAAATTGAATTTTTATAGCGTCGTCATTTTAGCCTCGACGTATCTTCATCCCATTTATAAAGGGATCACTCTTTTTAACAGCACACTCGGTCTGTAATGATATTCCAGCGGTCCAAGACTTGTGGGATTCGGGAAACGCCGTTTTAACTGTTACCGAAATTTGGGCGTGAATGAGGGATTGTGAAAACAATATTCAAGATAGCGATGACAAACGTACGATCAGGTGCGAGATTTTTGTGAAAACGTAGCAGGAATGTGGAATCAGCATCACCATTTCCTGACCCTAAGCGCACGGCCAAAAAGTAACCAGATGTAGCCTAAAGCACAAAACATGTATCCCAAATATCATGCAACAGCTGCTTCATGCTACATGCTCCCTAAAAAGAGTTTGCATTTCTGTGATTCATACATCTACTGAACTTTAATAAGTTTGTTTGTTTGTTTGAAAATTGCGACCTTCTCCCTTTGTGAACTTAAACATCCAACCGAGTCCCAGATAACTCAGAAAGGTAGACCAGACCACTAGTGTCTACATTTCCCGATGTTTTGTACTGATTTCGCTACAGCAGTATGGGTTGTTTTTTTCTCTTATTTAATTGATAATGAACAAGAGGATTCAAGTCGCCTACACTTATGCGAGTCCTCAAAATTCCTTTGCGATGCATGCCAACGACTTACCTGACAATAACAATAGTCCTAAGAACAGCTCAGATTGCTAAAAGTCGGTTACGTTTTTCTCAGGTGTTCCCAGTTTCACTCATTATCATCCTCAAAGTTGCTTCAAGGTTCTCAAAAATCACTAGGAGATAACGGGCTTGTTGATCGAGACCAGGGAGTTTGTCTGCCCTTGGTGTCAATTCCTGCTCTCGTGCAATGTGCTCGTTTGTAAAGCAAATTAAAAAATTTATAAATATATATTTTAATTTCAACAATTTTCCTTTGGCTCCACAATCGAAAGAGATTTCTTCCGACCGCAACCGCGACGTTTGGACGGATCAACACGTGCAGTCAAGAAGGAATGATTCGGGAGCGACTATGCACATCTTAAGGGGCTTGAAACATGGACGGATGGTTGATTTCTTCATGCACTGTTTTTGTTTTATACAAAATAGACTGATATTCCATGCTCTATACATTTTAGTCTCTAAAACTTCTTTTCAAAACTTTCCTTGAATTTTTCTGAGATATAAAAAGGTTATTCAGCAGCTATAATTTTTTTTAGGAATAATACCCTACCCCTACCGGCCCCACTCCACGAAAAGTTACAATCATATATCTAAATGTATGCAAGGATAAATGTACATGCACTGAGACACCAACAAGGAGAAACGGAGGGCATTTTACACCTCATGCGCTTAGTTTCGCATGAGTGAAAAGGAAATTCGTAGTGAATTGGCCAGTTACTGGTGGTTATCCGAAATGGGACAATGCCATTAGTCTTCCAGCCAGGTCAAGGTTTACTTGTGCAAATACAGAACAATTAAATTACTTAACAATATATTAATGGGGTAACTATCATTTGGGGTTTAGTCTCCTTAGTAAAGTGTTTACGAAGACATGGACGTGGGGATTCGTTCAGTTATTGGTCCACAGTTAAGTAGTTACATTGCGTTGTGTCCCCATGCTACAACGCTGACAGTTAAAATTTTTATTTTGCTTTCAGTGGGAGTACTACAACAAAGTTCGGTGCACAAGATATGGCGATAGCTGCAAAGGTTTGTGCGTCCTCATATAATTCACTTTTACCCTTCCATCAGATCTTAACTGCCGTGTATATTGCTCTCTGCAGCCAGCTGCAGAGGATGGCCCCGTGTGAGATCAGAATCCGGATTTTGATTGCTCGTGGAATCCGGAATTCGAGAGTTTTTTTACTTCACAGTAATAGTAACACTTCACTGAATCTCCCAAACAGGGTTTTTCAGACCTAACGCGCATAAACATGTAAATAATAAATAGGATAGATGAGAAATTGGATAAAATCTCGCCTCCAAGTTTTTTCAAGTGTATACATGCTATCTGCAGCAGTGAATGAATTCCAGAGTTTGATTGCTCTTTAAAGAAAAGTTCGTAAATCTGCGACAGATCGATCTGAGGCCTGGATTGGCCTTTTTAGATTGTTTTCCCATTTCAGACCACGTAATGGTACCCCAGAGAACTGTTTCAATCAAATCTTGTCATATCCACGTGCACGCTTTTTATACACATAAAAGCCATATAGATATGTGCCGCACCAAAGGGTACGGGTTTTTGCACTGTTTTGGTCTAAAAACGGGTATAGACTTTGCCCAGTTTAGCCTGGAATCGGGCAAGGTTTTCATAGGAACTACGGAAGTGTATGAAATCCGTTTTGTTGGCGTTCTAATCCAAGTAATGGTGACATGATTTGTGAAAAATTACTTTTTTTGGTCTGAAATAGGGTCAGGGTAGCGGCACACCCCCACTAAAAATTCCCTGGAGTAATTCCCCCAACTGGGAACTGGTACCCCGTTTGTTTACCTTCTACTGACACCTTTCACATACCTAATTTAGAACACACAGCATCACCTTTTAATTTTGTGGGTGTGGACGTTACCGCTGACTACTCGTTCCCAGACTTCCGTTCCCTGCTCCTCGTTCTCCGTTCCTCGTTTTAGTAACATCCGGAGACTTACAGAAGTGCGTGAGATAAGGCCGAACAGCCTAGTCCATAGGCGTTCTCGGCTCGTTCGATCCTGGACTCTGCCGTAAGCTGTGACGTCGCCGAGAGAGGCTAGGGCGTTGAAACGAGCGGGGTCGAGCGATCTA